ACTCTATTTATCCGAACGAGTGAAATATCAAAACAACAGAATTATGAAAATAATTCAGCTGAGATCCCAATGCCTTTCACTGAAGGTATTTCTAGCAAGAGAATAGCAAAATATCACATTTGGCGTTTTAGGAATTTCCCATATAGTGCTTCGTAAGGGGCCATCTAAATACTAGCTTGGAAGCTGTTATTATAAGCGAACTCTATAAGAGGTAGATGTTGATCCCAACTTTCTTTAAAATCCAACACAGAAGCACGTAACATATCCTCAACCGTCTGAATAGTACGTTCTGCCTGTCCATCAGTTTGTGGATGAAAAGTGCTGCTAAGATTTACCTGAGTGCCTTGACCTTTCTGAAACGATCTCCAAAAATATGTTGTAAATTGATCTCCTCGATCTGAGATAATATATAATGGAACTCCATGAAGGCGAACAATCTCCTGAATGTAAAGCCTAGCCTAATCTTCAACTGAATATGTCGTCCTAACTTACAAGAAATGAGCAGATTTTGTTAGCCTATCGATAATTACCCAAATGGAATCAAACCTTCGTGGAGTGCGAGGTAAACCAGTGATGAAGTCCATATTTATCATATCCCATTTCCATAACGGAAGCTCAATATACTGGGTTAGGCCTCCAGGCCTTTAATGCTCTGCTTTAACTTGTTGATAGTTGGGACATTCAGCTACCATCTTCGCAATATCTTTTTTCATGCCATTCCACCAATAGATCTGTCGAAGGTCCTGATACATCTTCGTCGCTCCAGGGTGAGATGCATATCTAGAATAATGGGCCTTTGAAAGAATATTTGTACGGAGCTTCCCAACTGTCGGTACACATAAGCGACCCTGGTATCTAAGGACTCCATATCTAGTTAGCCTAAATAAGGGGTGTTGCTGCTGTGGAATCTTTTCCTTTAATTTCCTAAGCTCAGGATCTTCATGTTGCTGCCTTTTCACTTCAGTCACAAAGGAAGATTCTGCCATAATCTTAATGACAACACCTCCACCTCCTGCATCTACCAAGCGTACTTGCAAATTAACTAGCTGGCATATGTCTTTTGTAATTCTAGCCTTATCAGCTTCAACATGACTTAGACTACCCATGGACTTCTGGCTGAGCACATCAGCAACAATATTAGCTTTGCCGGGATGATATAAAATGTCAACATCGTAGTCCTTTAATGATTCTAACCATCTCCTTTGTCGTAGGTTCAACTCCCTCTGCTTAAGTAAATACTGAAGGCTCTGGTGATCGGTGAACACATCTATATGAACCCCGTATAGATAATGTCGCCAAATTTTTAGGGCAAAGACAAATGCAGCCAACTCAAGATCGTGTGTAGGATAATTCTGCTCATGCTTCCGCAACTGTCTAGAGGCGTATGCAATAACCTTACCATGCTGCATAAGAACACAACCTAGGCCAATTCTTGAGGCATCACAATAAACAACATAGCCCTCATTACTATCTGGAAGAGTTAGGACAGGTGCAATGGTAAGCCTTTTTTTTAGTTCATGAAAGTACTGCTCGCATGCCTCGGTCCACTGAAACTTCGTTGCCTTATGTGTCAATTTTGTCAGTGGTGCAGAAATAGAAGAGAATCCCTCCACAAACCTTCGGTAATACCCTACCAAGCCTAAAAAGCTGCGAACCTCCGTCGCATTCAAGGGCCTCGGCCAAGTCATCACTGCTTCAATCTTTTGTCCATCAACCTTAATACCCTCACTTGTAATAACATGACCAAGAAAGCTACTGAGCTAAGCCAAAATCACATTTAGAGAATTTAGCATATAACCTGCAATCTTGGAGAGTCTGGAATACAGCTCGCAAGTGGTCTGCATGCTTTGCTTCTGACTGTGAATATATAAGAATATCATCAATAAACACAATCACAAATTCATCCAAGAATGGTTTGAAGACCCGATTCATAAGATCCATAAAAGTTGCTGGGGCATTTGTAAGCCTAAAAGACATGACAAGGAACTCAAAATGGCCATACCTCATCCTAAATGTTGTTTATGGGATATCAACTTCCCTGACTTGCAACTGATGGTAACCAGACCACAAGTCAATCTTGGAAAAGCATTTGGCACCTTGTAACTGATCGAATAAGTCATCAATCCGTGGAAGAGGATATTTATTCTTTATAGTGACTTTATTTAGTTGTCTATAGTCAATACACATCCGCAAAGATCCATCTTTCTTTCGAACAAAGAGTACTGGGGCACCCCATGGGGAACTACTTGGCCTGATAAAGCCTTTATTGAGTAAGTCCTTTAGTTGTTCCTTCAATTCTCTTAGTTCTGCAGGTGCCATTCTATAGGGAGGAATTGATATAGGTTGCGTATCAGGAAGCAAGTCTATAGCGAAATCAATTTCCCTTTATGGGGGAATTCCTGGAAGATCATCAGGGAATACCATTGGAAATTCATTCACGATAGGAATTGACTGAAGAGTCATGGGCTCTTTATCAATATCTTGTACATGAACCATATGGTATATGCAACCTTTAGCAATCAACTTTCGAGCCCTAAGGTATGAAATAAACTTACCCTTAGGTGTGGCTGCATTACCCTTCCACTCAAGGACTGGCTCACCTGGAAAGTAAAATCGAACTATCTTTGCACGACAATCAATATTATCATAGCAAGCTGCCAACCAATCCATACCCATGATAACATCAAAATCTAGCATAATCAACTTAACTAAATCAGTGGAGGTTGGACGATCATTAATTAATACCGTACAACCCTGATAGACACGACTAGCTAAAATAGAATCACCAACCGGTGTAGACACCTCAACTGGTTGTGGCAACAACTCAGATTTCATGTCAATCTTACTAGCAATAAATGGAGTGATATATGAAAATGTAAAGCCAGGGTCTATCAATGCGTAAACAACTTGAGAAGATATCGTCAATAGACCTATAACAACATCAGGGGATGCCTCTGAATCCTGCATCCTGTGAGTGCATAAAAGCAATTCTGACCACCACTCGAACCTGTATCTTCTTTACCTCTCCCTCTACCACGACCCTGAGTAGATTGTGGTCCTGGTCATGGGGCACGGACTGAGGGTGAAGGGTGAAGATGTTGCTGTGGATCCTGAAGGCTGAGCTAGATCACCTCTGCTCAACCTCGGGCACCGACTAATAAAATGTCATGTTTGCCCACAATGATAACATGGACCTGAACCCTGTCTACACTACCTAGTGTGCGGCTTACCGCACTGTGTACAATGAGGAGTGGGATGTCTTACCCGTACGGAATGATCTTGTCGACAACCTTCAGGCTGGCCTGAGCTCTGACTTGGTCCTGACTGACTATAACGATTAAACCGCGGTCCCTGCACTTGTGGTGAGACACTACCCGCTGGCCGAGGTGGATATCGATGGAAAGGGGGCCTAAAATCACCATGTGGCTCCCTATAATACCCCATAGTACGAGCCCTCTTACTCTGCTCCCTATCCCTGAGGGTATCACGAATCCGTTTAGAAAGGTCCTCTGTAGTCTGAGCGAAAGCCTGTATGCGAGAAATATCTACATCATCTGATAGGGATGCTACCCTACAATCTCTGATCAAATGATCTGCCAAACCATCAACATAACGATGAACTCTAGCTCTCATGGTACGTATAATATCTGGTGTATATCTTGCCAAAGAATTGAACCTGTGGCTATAATCCCTCACACTCATAGTTCCTTGCTTCAGATTGATAAATTGGTCAAAACGGGCCTCTCGAACTTCCCGTGGCAAATAGTGGGCAAGGAAGGCCTTAGAGAAGTCCTCTCATCAAGTCCTCTATATCTCTCCCATGCCTCGTACCATAGGATGGCTACATCACGTGGCTAAAAACAAGCCAACTCCACAGCCTCTGTGACGGAGGTATGCATCACCCTCAATACTCTATATATGTGGTCTATAAAGTCCTGGGGATCCTCAGTAAGACTAGATCCTATAAATAACGGAGGGGCCAAATGAATAAACTCTCGTACCTTCAAACTTTCTGACCGGTCTCTTTGAATATCTACTGCTGACTCCAATTGTCGCTCATGAATAGAAACCATCCTAGTCAGCAACTGAATTGCCTCTCTCATCCCCTGTTCCCCAGAGATCTCTGGTGGAGAAAAAATAGATACTGGAGGTCCTGTGTTCATAGCTTCCTCAGGTACCAATGGAACTGGTGAGGCTGGGGGTACTGCATCTCCTCGGGCTTCAATAGGTGCCGGGGAGGCTGGTACTAGGGGTACTAGAGATCCACCCTGTGCCTCAGAGGGAAATCTATCTCTTTGACCCGGTAGGGAACGGCTAGTACCTTTCCTTGGATCCATACCTATCTCTCAATTTTCCATATCCGGAGCGAGTGTAGCCTGTTAGGTAAGAAACATAAAGCACGACTTAGATTTGAAATATTCTTATACTTTTGCACTATAGCACGATCTATCAGTTTAATGAAATGTAAGCATTCCTAAATTCCCTGTAGCCTCTTGATTATAAGTGTGGTGTACAACACACCCATAAACAAGACTCTACTAGATACGGCTTGTCGACCCCACTGGGATACAACCTGCTCTGATACCAAGTTTGTCATGCCCCGAAATAAGGGGCGTAACTGGCACTCGATACCCTAATACATCGAGTTACTCACTGAAATATACTAGCTAAACCAAACTTGTGAGGCAAAAAGATTGGGCAGCACAACCTCTAAAAAGTGAAGCCTGGACGCAGAGGTCATGACCTGAAAGAGAATAACCATACAAACAATGGTAGACAAACCGAAAAAAATAAGATGTACTATCTAGCCGACGAGGCCACAACCGAAAACATACCTACTTACACACACCCTTATATATACAAGCCAAGACTCTTGGCTGGAGGTTGAAACATACAAAAAGAAAACCCAGAATATTGTGTCCACAATAGCCTCTATGAGTGACATAAGCACTGTTGGGACAAGGCCCCGACTATACCCAAACTGTACAACAAAAGTAAACATCCTCTGATAGCCCCAGGATAAGATGGAGCTTACCAACTCACAGCTGAACCTGAATCCTAGCGGGTGGGTCGATTAGAGTCCTTGCCTGTACCTGCTCGCACAAAACAAAAAGCAACGTCCCCAGGAAAATGGACGTCAGTATGAATAAAAATGTACTAGTATGTAAAGCAAAAGGTAAAATCATAAACATTTACTATAAAAGGATAGTAGAGATACCACCTGAAACTGAAAACCAAATAATCTCCATGTATATATATATATATATATGCAAATGCATGACATACCCAACCAAATGATAGCAATATGTGGATATTCATAACAAGTTTAAGGTGATTTACTTAGTTCCTAACTTGGTTCCTAGATAATTTATAAAAGAAATATTTCAAAAACCAAGTGTTCTAATAGTTTACATTTAAATTATATTTGAGAGTTTTGAAGGTCGTGAGCTACTTTAAAGTTTTTCTTTAATAATAACCTTAGTGGAGAAAGAGGGATGGTCACAAGTAGTAAGGGTCTCGTGTGATATTTTAATTCATATCAGCCAAGGAAGAATACAAATTCATACGTGCGGACAAATAATCTAGGAAACTGATAAAATGACGTGTAGATGTCGAACACTCTATTTATCCGAATGAGTGAAATATCAAAATAACAGAATCATGTAAATAATTCAGCTGAGATCCCAATGCCTTTCACTGAAGGTGTTTCTAGCAAGAGAATAGCAAAATATCACATTCGGCGTTTTAGGAATTTCCCAGGAGTAGTACTAAAATGAGGGATGTAGCTTCGCCTGAACATACCTTTTCAATAACGCTTGAATGGCCGTAGCTTCTGTACGAAAGTTGTTCCTTACGTCTTAAACTTCGCAAACACTATATATACACATCTTGTACACACCTATAAACAATTCATAATTGTTCTTAAATCGGCAGATTTGCCAAATGGCCTCAACTTGAAGAAATGTCCATAGAACTTCATAAAAACAATCATAAAAGAGTCCCGAGATGATTACCTTAGTTAACCAAGTGTAAACCTTGAAGAAACACCAATAAATACAAATTTATATCTTCAAAAACTTGCTTCAAACGCAGCTAATAGAAGGGGAAAATGATTACCACGTGTAAAGATCACGTTTCTAGGCACGGAGGTAATCTTTAATGGTAGAAATCATCGAAAGCTTACCTTCATCATGCAAGTACTCCATAGGAACCTTCTCTTAAGCTTTATTTCTGGTTTGGAAGTAAAATGAAATGTTTTCATGGCTTAAAACGTTGAGTAAGCCGACATACCACATTTTTGAACCGACTCGGATTCTTCCCCGGCAGTCCGTAGTAAAACCCTCATAACTTTTTACTCCGATGTCGGTTAGATACGGGGTTTTTTGCGTTGCAAACTAGACTCGTAGGACTTAGATTTAATGGGTGATAGGATTTCTGAATCTTTGTATATTGGGAGAAAACATCCAAGACATTTGACCAAAAGTTAAGAAAATATTATTAGAGAAACTTCGATAACTTTTGCCGACTTTAGTTTCACTAATTTTCTTGACTTCCAAACTTAACATACGAACCTTGTGCTATTCTAATACCTCATAACACACTATTCTTAGCATGTTTTACACTCATAGGCATATCCACAAGGTATGGGACAAGTTAAACCTTTCAAACGGGCGAAGTTCTACCCGAGCCATTTCTTTTATCATGAACTTTGTTTGAGGGGTTCCTTTGACCTAAAACTTCAGTTTAGTTCCTTGATATTGACACCTACTTGCAATCTTAATTTCCGATGTACGATACAAAGTCATATACACCTCATATAACCATGCCATACTACGCCACATATATTATGCACGATTAGAGAAAAAGTACGGGATCGTACATGTAAAACTCGGCGAGATAGATGAACACTTGGCAGATCGCCGAGTAGCAAAGAAAATCCAACTAATGTAGCCGAATGGATAAGATCTGGAAAGATTTTATAAAACCGTGGGTCTAAACTTTCAACCTTTTTCATATTCTCTCACTCTCGATTTTCGCAAAATCACACCTACTTAGCATTTTCAGAATTTTCGCACCTCGAAAGTATTTTAGCTGCTTTAGTGGTGCTTGGATCTGTAATAACCTGCCGCCTAGAATCACAGTTTTGACCTAGTCTGCCCAAAAGGTTGGTTCTCCAAACTCTGCATTTAATTATTATATTTATGCTCTCATTCCAAGTAATTTTATCCTATGTCATGTGCTGTGCCTCACTGATAAATTTAGGCTATTCAGCGTGCTGAGGCGAGCTCACCGAATCACTTGGAAGTTCACCCAAGGGACTTCATATCAATTTTAAATTTTTGCTATTCGTAGTCAGTGTTCTGTAACTCTCGGTCAAAAGCCATATTCTTCCAACGCAGTCGGTGACTAGACGAAGGTCTCTTTAGTCGCCCTTTGTCTGCATTCCCGAACCTTTCTGCACTACATACTTCGGCGGATAAAGCCATGATCGCCAAAGCAACTTGGCGACTCGCCGATCTATCCGGCGAGTTTGTCTGTAATTGTATCCCTCTGAACTTAATTTAGTTGTTTTAACTTCTATCGGATCCTTTGCAGAAATGGCTAGATCTAAAGTTGCAGGAAGAAGCAAGACACCTAGAAGTAAAACAAAAGGGTTCACAATCAAAGAGGATGCAGACGTGTTCACAAGCAAAGTTGCTAAACTTTCCACAAATGGTGAAAAAGGGAAAGGCAAACACAAGACCCTTGAATTGACAGATGCAAGCACTTACAATAATGACTTTTATAGAAATAACCCCAACTAATCTAAAAGCAAAGATGTGGGTTCTGATAAGGAAAATATGCTAATAGCACAGAGGGCCGAACGACAAATTAAGAAGCTGAATGATTCATCCAGGGCCAGGACGTACCAACCTACCACTACTACACTTCCAGTTCCAAAGTAGGCAATGGTATTAACATCTCCAGTGCAAGGTCTTCCGCCCAAATCTATGGATCAAGTAAAGGCTGAGGGGCTGAGAAATTTTTTGGAGGAAAAATGTCTGTTCATAGAAGGGGTTATAGACAGGCACCCAGAGATAATAGAGTGTCTGGGATACCACCAGTTTCAAATCTTCACCAAACCCTATGACCCTTATATTCCAAAATGGGTAAGAGAATTCTACAGTGCATACAGTGCACTAATACCCCAGCAAAAGCAACTAGCAGCAACCTTCAAAGAAGTTGACTATGTGGTTGTTAGAGATAGAAGGGTGAAGTGTGATAGTGTGGAAATCAATGCAACCTTGGGCCTGTCCACAAAAATTCGGGGATCACTGCCAGTACTTGATTAGAACAAAGTAGCTGGATGAGATGAAAAAGTGGTTAGCCCCACTAATTGCAGATAATACTACTAAGTGGTTGGCAGAAGGAGTTTCGATTGAAAAGAAATAACTTAACATAACAGCAAGGTTCTGGTTCAGTTTTATCAGCATCGCAATTATGCCATCCCAGAATGAGTCAAGCCTTCACCTCGCCAAGGCAGCTTGCCTGGGTTGCGTAATAGAAGAAACTCAGATAAATTTGGGTACAATCATCGCTTCAGAAATAATCATGCGTGCAAGGCAGAGCCGAACCTCACTTTCGTTCCCAGTCTTGATCACAAAATTATGCAAACGAGCCCAAGTGCCTCGAGACACCAAGAAGGATGTGGAAGTGATACCCACAATCTCTACTGATATCTGGTAGATCGAAGATGAGTACCTTAAGGATCAAGCATAAAGGAAGAAGGAAACAATGATGGAGTTAATCAACACAAAATCATCGCCTGCAAAGACATCTTTGCCTACTCCGGCCCCTGGGCCTTCAGGTATATCCATTGCCACTGTTACTCCCGCTGACACTCCAGGTTCTTCTATTGCTGCACAATCGCCAAGACCCACTACTATTGCTGTTGTTTCTCGGCTTCCACTCACTCGGGCATCCCTACTCCAGATGGGATAGCTGGCTCTTTCTGTTGATTGTCGAGCTGCTAGCCTAGAGGCCTCTGTTCCAGACATGATCCAGATTGCCTTAACTGATGCTATGACACCTCTAAGCACTACCATTGATACCCTAGCAGCCAGAATAGTGGTGTGTGAGCACAACCAAGGGTCCACATAGGAGGTGATGGCGTTAAAAGCTGCCATTGATGAACTAAGAAAAGATGTAGACCAACTAAAGGACACCGATGTGTCCATGGTCATTGGAACAGTGGAGATACCAGACATGCCTGAATTTCCTCAGAAGATTAATGAACATGGGGGTAGAACGAAGTAGGTAGCCAACCATGAGTCAGAAGAAAAAACTCATGAAGCGACACATGAAGAGACTGAGGGAGCTGCAGATGAAGACTCGACTGAGATGGATGAAATTATGATAGATGTTGTTGTGCAAGCTTCATCGGAAAAATCTCCTGCTACTAGATCCAGCAGAGCTAGTGCTTCTAGTGGTCACTCCGGGTACTAATGCCCAGACAAATGAAGTTACCCATTAGTCATGATCCCCTCTTTACCTTCCTCTCTCACCGTGGCTATCTTTAAAATCTTGGTTAATTTTATTTGCATTTGAGGACAAATGATTTTTATTTGTTATGGGGTGAGGTTCACCTTTTGTGTGCTATTTGTGATTCGTGTTTTGTATATATTTGGGCTGTTCTATTTAAAATTGTGTTTACACTGCTTTTCGTGGATGTTTGAACTTATGGCTCCTTTTATTTTTAAATTGCAAAACGATTTTGACCCTTTCGAAAAATTATTATTATTTTTTGAAGCCACCGCTTGTGTTGAAAGTGGCTGTTCTCGTACACATTTAAGTATCGGTTTCGATCATTACCGATGACTTGAATAGTGCTTTCAATTGAACGAACATGAATCTACGACTACGATGAGGCCAAATGAAGTTGCATAAACAATATGTGAACTCTTTGCATCTCGTTGTGATTAGCCATTTGTCGAATTGATTCTCTTGTAATGACCATTGCACACTAGTGAAAGTGTGTAGTCTTGTTTGCTTTAGGTGTCAATGCCTTGTGTGATTAGCTTTCTTTAAACCATGCATGAATAAACCTAGAATTTTCCCTGTTAGTTTGATTGATTTAGAA